CTTTTCCCTCTAAATGCGCTAGACATTTGGAAAATTTAAGAATGGTCAAACATTAAAGCATTTGCAATCGATCCTATACCCGAAGCTTATGGGACACGATGCACAATGTCTTATTTGCTACGTTCTCAAAATTCGATTTGTGAAGAGGAATGTCGTAATCATAATCGAAATTTTAAGAACACACTATGTACCTTTGACTAAATCTATTAACGTTTCACAACCTAAGCCTTTAGATTTGAAATGAAGCATAATATTCTCTCCCTTAATTATAGCAAAACAACTTTACAACCCTTACGACTTTGCAAGGTATAACTCTTGTTTTTCTATAATTAATATTGCCAACTTGCAATACTTTCCATAATAATCATACAATCATAACTTTTATGCTCCCACTATCATGATGATTACTATAAAACATAACACTTATGCTCCCACCAGCTTTGACATGTATTCATAAACATCTTAACTTTCAGAAAGACAATACCTATTGAATTTCTTAAGTCCATGTTTCTAATACTTAGTGCTTTGATAATCTTTTATCAAGGTTTCTTGAACTTATACACTTTTGCCTTAGATAGTGCATATGTGTGTCTTAACAATTAAGACTAATTGCCAAACCTCACAATTCAAATTATGGAAAGGGATACCGTAACCATGATTGAATTTGAGAATGCAATTTTACAATCACTATCTTCTTAAAATCTTTCTTAGTGAAAGCATTTCCTCACAATCATTTTTCATGAAGGAGGAAATCTTATGACACTTAGATTTAAATGGTGTATGTGTTTCTATCCATGTGAATTTGTTAAAACCAAAGTTTACGACAAATTCAAACTCATATGGACCGAGCCTTTTTTAATCTTGATTTCTTGCCTTATGGTAGCACAGCTACCCACCACATCTTCCAAGTAGTTAAGCATCTCACCTTTTTCCTATCAATGTACCTTTCATTGATCAAGGTGCCTTGCCTTTTATGCATTCAAAATGAGAACTCAAATAACTCACATGCATAATTAACTCAATTGGAAACAGCACAGAAACAAAATAATGTCAACACGATAGGTTGTAAACCTCAACTCGTGTGCTAGTGATGATCAATAAGGTTTATTTGATTTCTTCTTGAAACCTTTCAAGACCATTAAGACTCCCACTAACTCCTTGACATATAAGATTCTCTTGTCAATAAACATTTGTTGACAACCAAATATTCAAGAGTTAGTGTAGCTTGTATCAAAACACTTCATAAATTGGTCCTAGTTGGTCTTTGTCTTATCCAAGACATCACAACTTTCCTTATTTGATGAATGTTATAAACCTTTAATACTTTTCAATCATTGTCACAATCTTAACTTTAAGACTTGTTATTGGAACGAAGTATGATAGACTTCTTGATTTAACCATTTCTTCAATCCTTGAACATACAATTGTACTAAGACTCACTTAGAGGATCAATTGAGATATGGTTCTTAATCATTAAGACCCATTATAAAGCATAAAAGCTACTCTCCCTTCTTCTTAGAATGGAGAAACTTTTATCTTTCTGCCTACTTGATTCTTCTTATTCGTTCTACTATTGATCTAAACCCTTTAATCAATTCAGAATTACACTTAATCTTGTAAGTGTTATCATATTTACTAAGCCTTTAGTAAATCATGACGAATATCTTTGTTACTCCTATGGTGAACTTGATCAACACACAACTTTGTGTACTTGATCTCCTAGTCCTTCACTTGACACTTTGTCAACGAATTTGTCTAATTTCCAAATATGAAATTTCTCATTCATCATGCAACCAAGTTGCGTGATTCCAAATTTCAGTCCAATTGAAATTTTGGGCGATGAGAAACTCTCCCTATTTGGTAAATTCTCGACATTTCCATAAATAACATAACTAAGAATCATATCCATTCGTTGTAGAAATATGCAAACATCAATTTTCATAACGATTTCATTGCAAGGAAGTAAATAAATAAATAAATAAGTCAAAAAAAATTTATTTTCTTTATAAAAGCAGCGGAAAAACATTTGTCCTTACATTGCAAAATCTATTGAGAACTATGTAAAAGGAAAATTTCTAACAAATCTATCATAACTATCTAAGCTCAAAATCCAATCTTCAAGTCCATGCGATCGAGATCCATCTCTTGTGATTAGATTCATCTTTCTCTCTTATCAAGCTTCCTTTCTTTTCACCGATCCTGCTAAACATTCAAATGCAATCTTATCACATCATGTATTAAGAATCAATGAATAGGAACATAACGGAGTTAGATATTGGATTTTACCTGAAGTGTAGCCATACTTTTGACTCTCCCATCTCTTAGATCTCTTAGGTAAATAGGGCAACTTCGTCTCCAATGCCCCTTCTCTTGGCAATAAAAGCAAATTGACTCTTTTGGAACAACACATGGAACTACTTCAGACATCGCCTTTCTCTTATGATCAAACTTTTCGATCATTGCATGTCTTTCATTGCCATTGTCTATATCCATAGAGGTCTTGAAGGCAGATTCACCAATCAACTTTGCTTTTCTATTGCGCCAAACCATTGTTGATTCAACAGCAATAAGCATATAGGTGAGATCTATAAGGGTCACGTTGCGGTTCATCATATAATACTCTCTTACGAACTCACTATATGAGTTAGGAAGTGACTGAAGAACCCAATCAATAGCCATTTCCTCACAGACAATGGATCCCAACACTCTTAACCTATCAATGTGTGACTTCATCCCTTGGATGCGTGCACACACCGACTTTCCTTGTTTATGTTCACTTGCCAAAAGGGCTTGAGTGATCTTGAACTTTTCAAGCCTTTGAACTTGTTGGTTAGGGAGAATAATTGGAGGAGGAGGAGGAAGTGAAGCATGATCTCTTGTTCCTCGATCAAATCGTGGAATATCATCTTCATGTGGAATGCTTGTTCCACGGGATTTGGGAAGACCATAGTTGTCGAACTTTGACATCTACAAAACGGGAGAAAACGAAATTCAAGTTAGTTGATCGATTGAGTCCTTAGTAAATCACCCAAATGAGATACTAAGGCTAGGACCCAACACAATACGCTACAACCTAGAAGAGGGATGCCGTAATCTAGTTGCAGAATATTTAAAGGTAAGTGAATGACGATTCACTAATTTCCACCATGAAAAACGAAAAAGAAATTTAAGTTTTAGATCTATGAAAACTCCTAGATCCTTTGAGATTCATTGAACTTTCAATGGCATGTTTAAATCTCGATATGCCCCTCTTGTTTGTGACTGGGATGCCGAGGATCACAAAGCGGGTGTGAATAACCATGCAAACTTACATGGTGCCCTCACATGTTACAGTCACCTATTCGATGTGCCGGTAAACCACACACGCTCCACCGAACTATGACAAAAATTGAGTCAACCTTTGCTACCTTTGCTTAGAACCATTTAGTGTGCCGGTAAACCACACATGCTCCACTAACGTCTTTGCAAGGGCACAAAGTGTAATTTCATGGAATTGCATCAATTCACTTTTCCTAAGTAACTAAGATTGGGAATTTTGAAAAACATTTAGTTACTTTAGTAATTCATTATACTTATAATGGAAGGTTTTGTCCTATCCTACCCGTTCGGCTAACGACCCTCCACTAGTCAAGAGTGCGGTGGGTAAGAGTGGATACCCATTCAATCACCATTTTATAGGCAATTTCCTTAAACACCCCTTATAGACCAGCTTCGTGAATGAGGCCTACTAACGGTAAGACTGACTTTTAGTTATACATATATAATGTTAGACTTTTAATGTTATATGTTTAGTATAGGGTGCATTTTATACTTTTAAAATACTATGTGGTTAACTTTAACAATTACACTTTTAATTCAATTAAATGGTTAACCTAAAATTTTATGGATTTATTAAATCTCTTTTAATTATACTCCTTAATTAATTAATAAAACCATAAGGGTGTAATTTGAACTTTTCAAAACAATACTAGGGTTTTAGAATTTAACACTCCTAATTAAACCTTTTTAATCAACTTTTGAATTCCAAAACTTGAGGGCAAGTTTTGAAACATTTCAAAACAATTTAGTTTTAATCTATCTTAAAATTTCGAATTTATGACATTTAAATTTAAAATTTTAAATATTAAACTTTTGATTTAATAATTATCTTAAATTAGACTATTAATTTAATTATTAAATCATAAGGGATTATCTAAATAATGAGAATAATTACCATTTATACATTTAAGTTATCCTAATCCCTTAAATATCTATATAGATTTCGAAAATATGGATGGATAATGTAAGATCTTGAATTACCATATATAACAATCACTACAAGAAAAAGACCCTTTTACGATGCGCAAACCACGACACTCATTGATTTATGTTACGCAAAAGAGTGTGATATTAAAAAAGTGTCATCTCTTCAAAAAATTTAAGGATTTATGTCACGCATTATTGTGTGCCCTTAAATTAGTGTCTCTAGAAAAGGACTTAAAAACACGGAGGGCACTTTATTTTAAACGTGCGTCCACTGTACATGTCGCTTTATAATTTTAATAAAATGCGCGTTTAGTATAGGGGGAAACGAAATCCCCAAAATTTTGAAAACCCGTCTTCTACCTTCTTTCTATCTTTCATCTTTGCAGTCTACTCTTCCCTCTCCCTCCTTCTCTCTTCTCTCCGTTTCTCTTCTCTGCCACTCCTTAATACCTTGCATGAATCTAAAAACTAGAAAACCACGTCCTCACAAATTCTAGGAAACCAGGGTTTTTTTAATCCCTCAAAGAACAACCCACATCCTCCATAGATCGATCTCTATCGCTTCATTTCTCACAAGATATCGAACACTTTACATTCATAAGGCCACAAAATCGAATATTTCTTGAACTAGGGTTTCGAGTTCGTATCACATAACCCTCCCTCAATCTGTTCTCCATGTTGAATCGATTCCATGGTTTTGATCGACTCCTGCTCACGCCGATCATCGATTTTTAATCGTCGACCATCGCTGCATAATGACTCGTTCGCAAGATTTCAATGTGTGGTACCTCGATGTCATTTCCCAGGCTGAGCTCACTGATTACGACCCTGTTCATGGTACCATGGTTATTCGACCATACGGTTATGCCATTTGGGAAGCTATTCAGGTAGGTCTTTTGTTTGTTTTGAGACAAACTTGTCAAGCTCTAGTCATTCGCTTTTGATTTTTTTACCTTCTTCTAAATTTAACCTAGATTTTCTCAAAGCCATCTGTGAATCTCCTTTTGGGCTTTCTTCATTAGCATGTTTCGAGTTTCAACTACAGTCAACTCTCTGGTTTTATTCGAAATTTTATATGCCACATCAGTCTCAAAACCATTTGTTCTTATCCCACTCCCAGATTTATTATTTCTTGAGGACATTTGATATGGGGTATTAAAAGAAGAAGGTTGTTGCTGCTTGATGTCACTATCATCTGCTTTTCTATTTTTTAGTGGTTTCCCATGGACAAATCTTCACACTCTCTTTTCAATCTCTCATTCACTCTCTCTTTATATGCTAGATTTGTGTTTGTGTTGTTCGATGAATGATATTGCTTCATTGAATCCCGATGCTATTGGTGTTCCTGTGCAACTGATTTCTTAAAAGTAACAGGTGGTGTACTATCTGTAGCCAAAAAAGGCTCCTGACAATTGGGACATAGGAGTGTTTGATTCAGGTATATTTTTAGGTATTCATATTGTATCCTGCATCCATGGCAAACAGTCCAAAAATTAGTGGTGGAGCTGTGGGACTTTTGTAATTGCATTTTCTTCCATTCATGGTCACAAACCTAGGTCAGAAGTGGGTGTTGTAGTAGATTAGCAGCAGCAATGTGACTTTATGGTATCAACTACTCCTACTTTTCAATTTCCCCTTTTTATTCACTTTGATGCTTTTATTTTAGGCTTTATTTGTTTATAATATAAACAACATACGATTTATGTTTTATTTATGGGTGCAGTTTGCTTCCGGTGAAACCATGAGGAAATGCTTGAGCTCTGTATGTTTTCTTGGAACCTAACTTTTATCATTTCCATTATTTACAGCAAAACAAGATTAATAATTTGTTCTTGGGTACTACTTTATGATATTCACTTATCAGGTTGAAGAGAAGGGGTATGGAGTTCAAAACCAATTGAACTACTCACATCATGGATCTTAATATGTGGTCATCTGCAGGTCAACCTCCTCATGCCTTGGTTACTTTTGGTTTTGGTGGGAAGTTGATTGTGATGAAGGATACAAATGATTGTGGTGAAGGATACAAATGTTTCCACATACAAATGGTGTCATTAAAATGTCCAAGACTGGATTCGGTACCCGCACCAATAAAACCAAGAAACAAAGAGATCCTGTAAGCGTCTCCTCTTTCAGATTTCTCCTAAATTTACTGTTTTGTGATTCTAATCTGATTTGATGCAGAATAAGAATCATAATTTTACAAACAATGATGTTGAAGATAAATCTATGAAGTTACACTGCTATATGGACACAAGATCCTCCTTAGACAGGTGTTTGTCATGTCATAAAACTCATAACATATTAACATAGCATATTTTTTTAGTCATGAAAGACATGATTTTTTCAATGATGATTGACCCTTTTTGTTTATAATTATAAATTATCAGGGTGTTCTTTCTCAGAGGAGATCTAGCTTTCGGGGTAACCAATTCCCTCTAGCAGTTGAAGCTGTTAGAAAAGCTCCTATTCACAGTAGAAACTTCATGCGGAATCAACCAATGAATTCATATAGACCAAGGCAAGTTGTTTGTTTTTTTAATAACAAGTTGTGTTTCATCTCTTATTGCTGCAATAATCTGATTATAAATGTTGTTAATTTGGTTTGATGTGCAAGTGGGATGGTGTACAAAATAGGGGTGCTACAAATGGAGGCTTTGCTGTTAAGATATAACTAAATATTTAAAAAAAAGTTAGTAATATTATTAGCCACGGTATTGAGAGAGTATTTTGTTTGTTTGTGATATTTATTTATATGCAGCAGCAATTGAACTACTCACATCCTGTCTTCCCATTGTAAATCAGGAGTGATAGTGAGTTCCACCCTCAAGATGGTGCGGGTGATTGGTTGAACATGTCCTCCAAGATTAAGCTTTAGGAATTGGTGAATGCACTTGCAAAGATTTCACCCGAATTTGGGGGCTCGAACAAGCTCTCCCATCTCCTGTGATGACAGATCATAATATCTTTCCCATGCCAGATCCTTCTTCTCCAGTTTCATCAGAATGTCATTTTTAATCCCGTAAAATTAGCGTAGTGGGGTTTGGACACTCCAAATCCTGTTGTTTATCATTTTTCACAAGTTCAAGGCTTTCTCGGCTAACTGGGCCCATCCTCTTTTCAAATATAAGCACATGATGCTTTCCAGCCACTCCAATCACCTTTTCATAACAAATATCATTCATCAACTAAAATCTCTGCAATGGCTTCTTTACTGTAATTCCAATATACTGTTGAGCAAGTAGGCAAGGTCTGTAACTATTGTCAAAATGAAACAGGCCTTTCTCTAAGTCAGCTCGCATAAATAACGCAACATCATCATAATTGGGAAGCATTGCAGATAGCCCAACCAACCGAATATGTTCCTTTGTGGTCTCAATTTGTCTAACAGTTCTTGCCACAATACTCTTGAGAACAGGTCCTCTGTTATCTTGCAGAAGATGAATTTCATCAATAATTATACCTTTCTTTCTCAAAAATATATAATTTTAAAAACTATATATTTTGAGAAAGAAAGCTATTTTGAGGGGATTTAGGGTTTGGATTTTGTTGATTTTTTACGTTGAATCAGATATGGAGAGAATGTGGAAGAAGCTACAGCATCGGCTGATTGGAAATGCCCCAAATGTAGAGGAATCTGTAATTGCAGCTTTTGCATGTAAGTGCTGCTGTTGATCTGATATATTGGTACATATCTCCGTTTTCAAGATCTAATTCCCCTAAAAAAAAGTTTCAAATTTGACTTTACCAGATTTGGTATTTTTAAATTATAAATTGAATAACCTATGAACTTTTCAATACCTTTTCCAAACAAACAAGTACCACGGATAACATATTGTTTGTATTATTTTGCCAACAACATTCATTCCAATTTTCCAATCAACAATTACCCTTTTAACCTTACACGTCAAAGGTAAAACTTTCGTATTTTTATTAATTTCAGTTTGCCTAAAGTCCAAATAAGAAACAAGGGTATTTTTGTAATTTAACAGGAAAACGACACCCCGGATGTAGCGATTACTAGACTATTTGCATCTGCAAAGAAAGAGTATTCACCTTATTTTATTCACAAGAAGAAACAAGGGTATTTTTATTGATATGGCGATTATGGAGCTTTCGCTAACTGCTTGCAACAATTGCCACCAGAAGGACAAATTCGGGTATTCACCTTATTTTATTCACATAATATTAAAAAAAAACATCTTTTTTTATTGATTTCTCTTTATTTTCTTAGGCAACTGCTGCTGAAGTCCAAACTCTGCTAGTTTATAGGGCATTGACTTAGTTCTTACAGCACAACTTGGTGATCAGTTCTCTCTCTCTCTCTCTCTCTCTCCCTCTCTCTCACACACACACACATACATTATGCAAAATCTACTCGATTATAGAATTTTTTCTATTATATTTTAATTCCTACCTTCTCTTTGATTTCAATATTCTGGATTTAGCATCTTCTGTTGAGGTTATTCTTACACTTTTTGCATTCAAGTGTATGTCTCCATGAGGTAATTAATTTTGATCATGTATCTCTATTGCTATTAAACACTACAATAGATTATAGAATCCTGATACATTAGTAATAATCATTTTTTTTAATGTTTTCAGCTATTAAACACTACTATAGAAGAAGAACACCCTGTTGTGTTTACAGGCAATACCTGTTGTGTTTACAGGCAACACACAGGTTGGTGAAGTCTTTTTAATTTGACATGAAACCAGGAACCCTGAGGTATGTTTATTCAGCTACTCTTCAAAATGGTTCATGTACACCACATGATGATATATTATCAATAAATCAAGATAATAATAATAATATGAAAACTTCAGTTACTCCATTAGGCAGCCTTTCATCACCTTCACCTATGATGGATTTATTAGACATATTCACCTAGTATGTTTATTTATTTATTATTTTATAATAAATTGTTAAAAAAAAAAAATTTAAATTCTTCAGTTGCATTTGGAACCTGCTAGCAGTAACTCTCTTCCTGCAAATGGTAACGGCTCAATAACACAAAAATTACGAGTTACCAACACTCAACATGGCAAGATAACTATAAATAAATCATCATGGAATGAAATGTTTGTGTGTTTTTAAAAAAAATATCATTTACATGATGAATATTGATTGTTATGGCAGAAAGCAATCATTATGCGCATACGAATAAGTTACAAGTTGAACAACAAAGACATGTTGGAAGAAAGACATCCCTCGTGAGATATGATAACATTTTTCGCTCTCTTCTATCACCATCTCTTAGTGTTTATATTTGGGACAATGTTATTAAATTTGATTTGTATCTTTGTGTTCCCATGTTCTTAGGTCCAAATCATGGATATTTGAATTTGTTGATTTTGGAGGTGAAATGAGACATGATATATAGTGATAATAAAGGTAAGACAAGGGCAACAAATTATTCCATTAATGACATTAATCACTTGCATTTGTGATTGTATTCATTACATATGGATTCAATACTTAGCTAAGTTGACCTAGCATTTTATTCTTCTAGGTTCACTCAATCAGTTCTTGTTTTTGTTGTAAATTGTAAATTGTAATTCAGGGTATTCTTGGTCCATGTGCATCACTTGAGAAGGTTCATATAGTATTTTTAAGAATTTTGACTCTTTGTTGACTGATTGTTGTTTTTTGTGCAGAAAGGTGCTTTATGTTCTGATACTAGCATTGGTCAAGGGGATACTACTACATGGAAGGTGCTTCAATACACACTTGCTTACAACAATGTACACAAATTAACTAAGGAAATAGAAATGTAGTACTAGGTTATATAGTTAGGGAAAACCACTAAATAATAATGTACAAATATTTGTCTACTATTTGAATGATTATTTGTATGACAATAAATTTTATGCAATGGATTGTACTTTTTGTATATGGTATTTTATTTTCTGTTATGAGACATTAAATGCAAATTTAATTTGAAAATTAGTAAATCTGTAAATAATATTTATTTTAACATTTAAAATTATGATACGCAAAAATGTGTGTCATCTTCATTTATGACATGGCCTTTCTTGACAGGGGCTTCCTTGATACGCATTGTGTGTCATAAACACGCACGTCGTAAGGTTACAACCCGCAAATGCGTATTGTCTTTCTTTATGACATGACCTTCCTTGATACGCATTGCGTGTCATAACCACGCGTCGTTAATGCGCGTCGTCTATAGACGACACGTAAAAGTGCGTCGTCTCTTTTTATGATAGGGCCTTCCTTGACGCGCATTTGCGCGTCGTCTGAGCGTTTTACGACGCGCAATGAGCGTCGCAAAAGGCTGTTTTTCTAGTAGTGAATTAGAGGATAATTACAAGATATGGGATAATCCAAATCCCTAAAAATTAGGATCTTATCTTGGGGAGGAGGAAAATTTCAAAAATCAAGGGATTATAACAAACCCTAGATTTCGAAATTTAAGTGTTTAAGGAAAGGATTTGAAGATCTTATTCAAACTCTTGCAAATTAGGGTTTGCAAACCCTAATCTCGAAAAACCCTAGCCTCTTAGGGTTTATTGGCAATAAACCCTAATATGTCAAGTTCATACAATTGAAACCAAAACTGGACTCTGATACCACTGATGGGTTTTTGGTCATAAGACATCCTATGTGCTCATACAAACCCTAATGCTTGGATCTAGGTTTCTCTATTGTACATGCTTTGAATCCAAAACTATAAACCCTAATTCTAGAATTCAAGTGATCATATTAACAGAAGAATATGTTTATAATGTTACCTTGATTGTTATGTAGCAATAACAATCCCAAATCTCCTTGTATTGACTTTGGAAGGCTTAGAGTCACAATTGTCACTCCTTTAATGGCTTACAAACACCAAGAGCAAATGGAGAAGGTATAAAGAGAGAGGAGAGAGGTAGGAATTCGTCCTTAGGACTTCTTGGGAAGGGATACACGAATTCATGAGCCTTAGGGTCTTTATATAGGTGTAGAGATAGGGTTTCAGTCATTATCCTTATCTAGTTGCTTATCCACAAAGCAACCCATAAGATAATCCTTGAACCCTTATCATAGTCGAATTCTAAGGCATTATCTCCTTAAATTCGTTCACCCTATATATAAGATAATCCTTACCTTATTTTGTAACTATCACATAATTACAAATCAGCCCCTATAGTTTAATTAATTACACTTGATCACAAAATTAATTCCTAATTAATTATTGACCAATATTAATTAAACAAATATGATTTCTCCTTTAATATATTATTCTTATAACATATTAATAAATCATATTATCCTCTCTCTCTATATATATTTCTCCAATCAAGTTGCTTTGGTGAAGGCAACCCAAAAGGACCATGCACCATCGGGTCAAGTACATACCAAAATAGTTATGGACTTAGACACTAATCCAACACAATTTTCATGAACTTGTGTTACATCATTTATACCAGTGTATTGGCAG